GCCACCCCGCGCGGACCGCCCCGCCGCCGCGCCCTGCGCACGGCCACCGACTTGCACTCCCGCTCGCGTGTTCAGAGAGCCCCGAAGTCGGCGCCCCGGACGCGGAGACGCGCGGGCACTCGCCGGCCGCTCACGGCAGCCGGCTTTGGAAGAAGCCTGCCCGACGTGGCCGTCCTGCGCGTCCTCCTGCAGCGCCGGGAGCGCCCTGGGTGCGCGCGAGCCGGAGGACCTAACCGGGAGGGAGCACCGTGCGGAAAGTAGCAGAAAGGGGCTTTTACCTCCGAGCACGCTCCGTTCTGTTTAATCTTTTAGATGAGCCTGGCCGGGTGAAGCCACAGACAGCGTGCACCGCACCGATACGAATTGCCGTGAAGACCTCAAGTCCTTTATTTTTAAAAGGGTTTTTATAAAGCCAAGTCATTCTTTAATGAGATAGAATCAGAGCCGGTGAGGAAAAACCGCACATTTATTATTTTACACGCCTTCCCCTCTTCTAAGAGTAATATTAGCGTCAAGCATTTCCAGTTTGTTAACCGAGGGTCAGAGCCAGAAATGGAAGTTTGACAACGCGCAAGGGCGTTGTCTGTTCTAGGTACCAGTTTCACATTTTCTATCGCATGCACACTTGTTGCTACCCTCCTTTTGTAACCAGTTTGTTTGCCTTATGAGTGTGATTGCAGCTTTGAACCTTCTGTACTATAATGGTTGCCGAGGAGAAGAAGTCCGTTTTCTCTTTCACAGTTAAAATCTCTCCATGCACATGATATAATTAAACACTACTAACACCATAGCTGCACAGCTGATGTTAGCGGCGACTGCATGTTCTTAGATGCTAGAACTTATTGGGCATGTGAATACTAAAGCAATACCCATTAGACAAGGACATTTTATTGCTTCCAGACACCAGAAGAGATGACCTTCAGTTACTTGGGACGAGACACAGAGACACCTGTGGCTACCTAGAGTCCTGCTTGTCCTGCTCCATCTTACAGAAAGCTCCCAGTTGGGGCTTTATCTCGTAAATGGAGCCGCAGTCAAGAGGGGCCAATAATAGGGTTTGGGCCTGTAAAGTCATCTGTGCTTTTTCACGGTTTAAACAAGCCAGACGTTAGAAAGTAACACTGTTTCTATGTAGTTCATATCTATTACCATGACATTTAGCATTGGTATCATGTCTATGGAAGGAAGTGTAATAAACTCAGCTATATATAATGAACAGTTCAAGTGGGATTCTGTTTTCAAATGTATTATTTGAGGTTTGTCACTTTCGTGTTTAGCTCACAAAATTTATTTAGGAACATTTGAAATGCAAAATGTGAAATTATTTTATAAAACTAAAATGAGAAGAAAGTAATTTTAATAATCACGTGTCAGGCTGCTAACTACATCAAATATGGGGCCACATATCCTCGATCTACTGTGTACTTCAGAAGCAAAAACGGCTTGCTTGCTGCACTCTTGGACATTTTAATCCAGGATCTTAGGAGCAGTTCTGCATTTGAATAATTATGGAAGTGACAGAAAACCTTGTCATGTTTGTAGTAAAACAAAATAAAACAAATATGTTCATTGCCAATAATAAATCAGCAGTCATTTTATTATCAATCCCCTTTATGCATGCACCACTTCTCTCTGACTAGACAAGGTTTCATTTGTCCCCATTTCCCTTGATCCAGGTATTTAAGTAAAATTCAGGCAACTGTCCTTTTGCGTTTTCTTCTTCTGCCTCCGGTTTTCTTGTGTACCCTCTTGAGGTTACTGTAACAGAAGACACGGTCTCCCAAAGCACTAATGAGGGAAGTCACTTCTTTTTCCTGGCTGTAATTTTCAGCACCTACAAGCATGTCTACCTTATACAATTAAATAAGCTACCTATGTCAGCATCAAGAAGAAATAGGCATAGTTTCTTTTCTGTAAGTATTGGAAAATAGGCTCTAACAACAGAGAGCTGAAGACTTTGTGTTTTAGAAGACTGGGGCCATTCTAAATCTCTATAAAAAGTCTTTTAATTAGGCCTTTGTCTTTGTGTCTTGTTGTGGGAAAGTGTAAGCAATTTTTCCCAATGTTCCTGTAGACATTTGTGACTTTTAAACAGCTTTTCTAGTGTCTGCCTGGTATCTTGCAATGTTTCTGGCTAGCACTAGAACCCTCTTCTGCTGGCTCCCTGCCATGTGGGAGACCTATTTTAGTTCAATTTGCTGGTAATTAACTCCACAAGACTGATTCACTTTTAATTTCAAAGTAGCAATGATGTATCTAAAAATGCTTTCCTAGGGTGCTAGCTGAGTGTTGGCTGTATTGCTTTGACAAATTAAGTTAATGGAGATTGTGTTCTTATTTAAATGAAACCACATATTATCCACTCAGGAATAAAAAAACCCCTAATTGCTATCGTGGGCTGCCCTATTTTGCTTTTTCTGCTTTGTTCTTTAGGTGTGTGCCTGTTAAAACATACAGGGCCTGCCTTCCTTCCCCATGCATCATAAAGAAAATTCCAGGATCTAAAGGCGTTATTCGGAGCACACCCCTCCTTCCAGAATGAAGTGTATGACTAGATAAGAATTCTGTGCTGTACAGAGCAGTCACAGGTCGTCCCTCCTTGCGTACTACAAGGAGAGTTCCAGCTCAGCCGAGTTTCCCTTGTCTCAGATTAGGGACAGAGGTTTCTGCAGTGGGGGTGTTGTTCTTTTCGGGAGGACACAAGGGGAGGAGGGATTGCAGCTGAGGAAGGGGAATGAGGTTTACCTTCATCCACAGACAGAGAGTTCCTGAAAAGATCGGCTCACCAACGGCCTTGGTCTGCCTTGAGTGCGTTGTGCTGTGTGCGACGCTGTCCTTCCCATGACACCCGCACTGGCCAACTTCAGTGTTTCCTGTGTCCCCTTCTCTCTGTCCCCCAGGAATTCAGACCACGCTCCCCTGGCTCTTCAGCAGTCGTTAGCTGACTCGACAAGGGCATCAGTGGTACTCGCTTAGATTTAAGGGTGCTGAGAAAGGCTGTAGTGTCCCTCACTTTCAAAGCCCATCCTTAAGGTGTACGGGTTGTAGGGCAGGGCTGCAGCTGCGGATCAAGCGCTTGGTCTGTGGGAACAGAGGGAACCCTTGCTTCCCACTGCGCTCCCTTTTACTGTCGCGAGGGGCCTGGACATGTGTGTGCCACTCCGGCAGCAGTCTGAGCCCTGCTCCCGCCCCTCTCCGGCCAGCCGCCTCACCATCTCTGGGACCGGGTGGTGCACGTACAGGGGCCGCGTGTGCCCTGCTGAGAGAGGCGTGGGCTCTGGGTTGGCACATTTCCCTGGGACTCCTTCCCTTTCTGGGCAGGGTGGTCAGGGGAGAGGGGAAGCAAGCCCTTTGAGGCGTAAGATCCATTTTGAGACCCCGGTTTCTCCAGGGATGATGTTGTTTTCAATGCCACTGCACGTAGGTAGGTCCAGGAGCCTTTCCTAGCACGTCCCGCCCACAGGGGGACGCGCCACGTGCTTGCCCTAGATACCTAGTCATACCGGGCCTCATTCAAAGGGTGAGGAGGGTGGTCCTAGCCGAGGGGGAAGAGTGTGCACGAAACAAGAGGCTGCGTTTCGATGGTGTTGGGGGACTGGCGGCACAGGGGTGCACTGTACAGCTCTCTCTGCTGTTGTGCCTCTTAAAAAGTCTTCAAATTAAAAAGTTAAAAAGTAAAGTCTAGAAAAGGAGAAGGAAAGAGAGAAGAAAGGACTGAAGAAAGGAAGAGAAAGAATAAAAAAGAACCACAGCTTGTAATGACCACGACGTAGGGTGAAATCAGAAGTTCTCACTCAGGCGTGGCCTTCCCCCCTCGACGTGACTGTTCCCTAAGCCCAAGTCTGTCTCTCCGGCACGCACACCCCCGCTGCGCTGCGGCCTAGTTGGTGTGCAAGCTGCCTTCTACACGTGGCCCACGGTCCTCGTCTGCGCCTGGCTCATTCAAGGACTTCCTGGGATGCCCCAGCTTTGCACAGCTAACCCATCCTCCGTCCTTCCTCCCAGGGGGCTCATTTACTTTCTACCCCTGCACAAGAGCGCCTCTTCCGCTCGGGAGCTCTGCCTCCTCAGAATTCCCGCACTGCTCTATTCTTACTGTATATTCCTGTCTGATGTTATTTCTTTCTTCATATGTACTCTTGTCTTCAAAACCAGGTTGGAAAGGTGAGGTCTTTTTGGTGTATTTCTCATACTTTTTAAAAATGGAAGATATTTTTATCTTTTTGTAGCCAGTTACCCAAAATATACTATATAGTTAATATCCACTTGCAGTTGATAATGGCAATTTGTAAAGAAGAAGGATGTGACTCTTTCCTGTGCATGTTTATTTTTCTCACAGTGAAACACAGCTCATGCCTTGCTGAAGGATATCCCTGAAAGCAGACATAGGATGATGAGCCAGGTGTGTACCTCAGCACTGTGGTTTGAGGGTGATTTTTTGTTTTTTTGGGTTTTTTTTCCGGTACCGGGAATCAAACTCACGACCTCGTGCTTGCCAGGCAAGCGCTGTGCCGCTGAGCTAAATCCCCAGCCCCCGAGGGTGATTTTTGTGCTCCTGTTATACCCAATCTCTGTCCACACAGACTAAAGCAGCAATAAGAAGCTGCTGTCCTACTTATTGCTTCAAATTCCAGGTGTAGTTACTCAAAATGTGCAGTTATTTCTCAAGTTCTTGCATTGAAAAGCTGTGTATTTCTTATTTGTAAAAACCTTGAAGGTTGCTAATCGATACGAATGAATTTGGCCAGAACCCTGGGAGAAGAACCATCTTGTTCTCACCTTTTCTGGTCAGTTCCCTGAGCAATGGGCCTGGAAGAAACACCAGCGACCGTCCAGACTGACGCCTGGCTATTTTCATGTGAGAGAAAGTGCTTTAATTTTTCATCTTTTCTTGTGTAAATTAGGCCCATTTCCCATTTTTCTATTTTCAGGGAGGAGGAAAGTGCACAGTGCCCTTCGCGTGGCAGTGCTGTACTACTCTCTTTAGCCAAACGGCAGTTCTGTGAGATGCTGGCATGGCCAAATCCTTCATTACAAGATTTTTCCCGGTGGAAGTCACCTTTTTATAAAATACAGTGTGTTTTTTTTTTTTTATCTGAACAAATACATTTTTACAGAAAGTTTGGAAAAATGTAGAAGTACTGAAGACCTTGTATCATCTATAGTTCTGCTTCTCAAAGATGACCACTTTTAACATTTTGCTGTGCAAATTTTTTTCTCTTTATTTGCCTTTGTACTTGATCATACATGATGAAATCCGTAAAGTGTGTGCTGACGTGTACTTATGCATGTCTGCGCAGTCGC